GCTCTGAAAGCACCAGATTGTGAAGAATGCTCACCTCCAATGCAGTATCTCTAGCCTGTTTGGCATAAATTTTATCTTTAAAATAGCACAAAGTAAACATAATAGAATGAGTATTAGGGATACATTTGGTAACATTGAGCATATTTTTATAACTCATATTTAACAAGAAGGTAAAAGAGGAATGGCATTAAATAGTAACTTTTGAGGATTGGTACTTATCTGACAAGAAATGAATTTAATGCCAAAATACACTCTCTGGAATATCTTCCTACCACCAGCCAAAAAATTCCTAGTAGTTGCTATAAGGCAGTGAATGACAAACTCATTCACGCTCCTTAGCCCAGAAATCACTCTGATGTTTTTCTGCCTATTATTAAATGCATTTTTCTTATTGCAAATATCTGAGAGATATTTGGTGTGTTTTTCATTCCATCACCTGCTATATATTTTTGTTGTCACTGCTCAGAACATTAACAGTTAGATTAAGAGTGTAAGGGGACTCAACTCTATTTGGTAATTACATGTCAGAAAGTATTTCCCTGTCGGTCATTAATGCTGAAGTTTCTAGATACGCACTGTTAAATGCACTCACGTTAAATGTATATGAAAGCAACATTACATCTATATTATTAGCAACTTGTAGTAGTAGTAGTAACTTTCAAATATGCTAATCACTTTTAGAAAATTGCATTAAATGTTCCCTCAAAAAGCTTTGCTCGATTGACCAGTTGCATTGATTGAAAGAACTAGAAATTTTGGTTTGAAATAGGTAACAGTACCTCAAAACTTAAAGCGTTTTGTATTTCTTTGCCCTGTTACATCAAGCTACTCCAGTAAGAAATTTGTACTGAGTGAATCTGAATTAAATTGCTCTACTAGAAAAAAAAATTTAATGGAACTGCTCTCTTAAAAAAATAGAGCAGTTACAGACACCTGGCTGTGCTATGCTGGGAAAAATCTGATATGTTGGTTTTCTTGCTGTTGTTAAGCTTTTCAGATTATTTACTTAATTTTCGTGTCGATATCAAAATTCTGACTATGAAGTACAATGACCAGCAAATGAGTTGTTTGTAGGAACAATAATCAAGTAGAATGCTTTCAGTTTTGTCACCACCTATGAATTCTATATACTCTGCCTACATTATTGATCTTTTTGTCCTCATTGAAGTAAAAGATCCAATTCCATTTTCTAATGAGAATAAAAAGAAAAGTCACTATAATGATTTTCTTCTAACTGTAGGAATAAAATATGGTAAACAATAGATCTTAAATTTTCAACTCAATGTAACTGACCACAACAAACCAAGAAATATGCCCATTTTTGCCAGACTGATTGTCACTTTGGAAAACGTAGTATGTTTACCTCTTATCAGTATCTTAGCTCATAAAAGGACAAGATAAAAATCAATAAGATAAAATTGTCTTCGATCATGAAAGAAACATGAACTTTGGTGGTGTCGTTTTTTCTTTTTTTAAAGATGTGCACAGTTAGATACTTCAGGGCAATTCATGTAGGTTCTTTTTGTTCTGGTGATACAAAAAACCGATCATTCTGGTTTCTGACCATGCACCTCCACCTCCGTCTCCCTGAATATGCAGCAGAAGATGCACACGACAGTCGGCCTTGGCACTAATAAAGCCAAGTGGCCCTCCTTCCATCTCTGTGAACAATAAATAGGAAAGACGCTTCCCGTTGGCCAGGTGAACATCTGTGAATCCGGGGAGCAGCTGGCCAAGGGGTCCCTGCTTGAATATGATGGGCTTTACCTTGCACTGGCACAGAGTACACTCGGTGCCATGCTTGATCCAAGAGGACCCAGTGAAGCGAACCACATTCATCTCGTCCAGGCAGGTTTTGGTGATGTCATTGCGGATGGTGTCGGCCTGGCAAGGGTCGGTGACACAGCGCGGGCAGCACTCATTCTCTGGGAGGACACTGAATTCACACTCCACCTCCGGGCAAGGCAGGGGCCAACAGTCCACTTCCCCTTGCTGTAAGGAAAGCAGGTGCACAAGGGCAGAGGCAGAGGGGGGCAGGGAGCACAGTGTTTACAGAGAACTCAATCTAATTGATGGACATTTATAGTCACAGCTGCAAATCTTGCAGGGAATCTGCAAAGCCCTATCAGAGTGATGAGCTCTGTACTGCAGAAGGATTTTAAAACAGTCTTCAAGGGTTAAACAAGAACAATATTCAAGGAAAGCCAAAACCCTTTCTCTTAAAACAGTCTAATCTGCGTGCCTCTCTCTTTCCCCATGACAAAGGAGCACTGTTTGCTATGGAAGAGGTTTTTACTTAGCTTTTTGCCTAGGAGATTTTTTTTTTCCCATTCTTGTTTTCCCCTACCTTCTCATTTATTCCCTTCTGCAAAAAGAAAGTGTGTCCACTTACAAGAAAATAAACTGAAATACAAAGGAAATCTGACATTTCTCAGTGTAGGGATACTGGAAGCAAAACAAAACTAGGAACGGATTTCAGTCTTTTTTATTCCGAGTGGGGAAATTGTGTGACTTGGACCTTTTTAAAATTAAGTTCCCACTTGTCTCCTATTTTCTTCGTAATTCTGCATCTCATGGTCTTGGGGATGAAAGCAGCCTTCAGGCACAGAAACTGACCTTGCTCTTTCAATTGATTTTGGGGTTGAAAGTATAAAAAAGAAAGCAACAAAAGAGCGATGCCTTATAAATATCCTCCCACAAACAGAAACTAGCCATAACTTTTAAAGTAGCATCTGTGAAACTTTCTTCTAGGAAAAAAATTTTTCTTTTCATTTACACCACCAAAAAGGAACAAGGAATTCGGCCAAATGAAAAAAATGATTGGTGGTTTTTTTTTTAATCAAGTCTTTATTTTCTTTTTTACCTATTGTTTCCAGTAGAAGTTGCATAAATATATACAGACAACTCAGTTATATTCTAATAAGTATTTATTGCAAATTCGTATTGTATGTAAAACACAGTGCCTACCAGCACAGTATTGATAGTAATAATCTTTAGGAGACAAAAGTATGCTTTTTTGTCTTTGTTTTGTTAAGTCCGAACATATGTAATAGAAATGGACTAGCAAAAGGTCCACTTGGAAAAAATGGATGTCACTGTTCTGTTCATAATTGTCTCTACGTAAACTTAAACTGAATGGGATTGGGGAAGCCATTTTTGAGCTCTGGAGATATTTCTGAAGACTAACATGGCGTGGTGTACCACATCTACACCCGGACACTCCTTCTCAGGTCCAGAATGATAAGTTCTATCATGCTGTCACCCTAACCAGGTTCTCTGTTTGTAACTGCCAGTGCTATGGGCGGGTACTGAACACTGGTGGAGGGGGCAGGGCAGGGTTGCCTTCGTCTTTCAACTCTGGGCTTGAACATTTCCTGCACTTCCTGGAGCTGAACTTACCAAGCAGCGGCACTGCTGGCAATTCTGGACCCAGGTGTCGCCGCTGTTGTACAAGGTTTCCCCATTTTGATGGAGGCACTGGCTGCTCAGCCTTGGGTCACATTCAGGGCAGCAGAAAAGATCCACCGTGGGATTCTCACAGTCACAGACCATCCGTCGGCACATTACAAATCCATTCTGTACAAAAAGGGACAAAAGCAGTTACCAAAAGCCTCCGTTTCTCAAAATGCTAACATTGTATACGTGAATCTGTATGTGCCTGTCCCTTTATATACATATACACATATATACATTATATATATGATCTCAGATGTTGATCTGGAAGTTGAGATAACTCACACTATTTACCCAATATAACTGCTTTTCTTTAAAATTCCATTTTGTAGCTAGCACACAGAAATTACCCAAGCTGGAGAACTTCCAATTTCCTTTCCACACATTACTCTTTAAGTGACTTGACTGGAAATAAATTTTTCAGAAATAACCAGTATAAAATGATAACCACTGCGTGGTCCTTATGTGTAAATAAATTTGTGTATGACTATATAAATACACATGTACTTGTTTACCAGTATAGTAATTTGAATACTAATTAAATTTTGTTTTGTGTGAGGGCATGTAACTAGTCAACAAGTTTTATATACTATCAAGTTTCTAGAAATATTTTAACCTTATGTTTTTGTACAAGCTGTTATCAGTTTCTTTACTAACAGCTGAATCCTTGGTATTATTCACTTAACTATAATTTAAATGTCTATTATCAACTGGGTTCGCAGAACACCTCTCTAAAACTGAAATATAACCCAAATAGGCCATAGCTCGTCCATTCTGGCTTCATTTATGAATTCATTCAAGTATGCTATTGTGGCTATAGAAACATTAGCATAGTTAGAAACAGAATTTTGTCCTATGAATTGATAAACGCACTGTGGTATTTCCATATAAGGGAATACTATTCAGTAGTAGGAAGGAATGGGTTACTGATATATGCATGTAATGAATATAAATGAAGGTCAAAACATAATGCAGTGAGAAAGAAGCCAGACACAAAGAGTATGCATGGTTGTCCCTTGGTATCCACGGGACAGTGGTTCCAGGATGCCTGAGAACACCAAAATCCATGGATGCTCAACGGCATAGTATTTGCATATAAACAATACACATTCTCCTGTGTACTTTAAATTCTCTCTCGATTACTTATAATATCTAATACAGTGTAAATGCTACGTAAATAGTTGCTGGTACAGGGAAAATTAAGTTTTGCTTTTTGGAATTTTTTTCCAAATAGTTTTGATCCACGGTTGGTTGAATTCATGGATGTGGAAGCTGCAGACACAGAGGCCAACTGTGTTGTATGATTCCATTTATATGAGGCTCTAGAAAATACAAATCAAATCTATAGTAACTGGAAGCAGTGTTGGCTTGAGGCTGGGAGCACAGCCCTAACTAAGAAAGGACAGACGCCACATTTTGGGTAGATGAAAATGTTCTGTTATATTAACTGTGATGATGGTTAAATGGATGTATGCATTTGTCTAAGTTCGTCGAGTCATACACTTGAAATGTATGCAAATTATGCCTCGATAAAAATGGTGAAGAGCTTTTGTTTATACTAACCTGACAGGAGCACACAGAGCACCGGTCATTCTCCAACACCCAGATCTGACCGTTGTGCTTAATTTTTCCATCATGGATGCAGTCCCCGGTGCAGTTCTTTCCGTGGGGACACCGGCAATCGTATCCACCATCCAGGTTAAAGCAAATGGTATCATTGGCACAGCTGTGCCTCCCGGTCCCACACTCATCGATATCTACAGCCAAGAGAAGGCAGCAGGCCATGTGCTTAGAATATGCTCAGTTTCAAACAACTGCAATCAGGCAAGTTGTCTCCTGACATAAAGCATTCAACTAGAAATGAAATTTCATCTCACCAGCATGGACTGCCTGTTAAACACTGACTGAAGCAATGTTAATGACCTAGGGATTTCACAGGAAAATATTATCATGCTGGATTTCAAACACCAAGTAACCTTGGCTAGATTTTCAACTTGTATATCTCTGTAAATACCATTAGCCTTTATGAAACATTTATACTTTCTGAAAGTTAGGAATACGACTCAATTTATCAAACACACAGTTTGGCAGTGGAAATTCTAAACATGTCTGTGATTTTTTTTTTTAAATTGGGGAAATCACCCTCAATGTTAAAATGGTGCTTACAGAAAATCCTTTCTTAGTGGGAGATGAAATATCATTGGACCCTTGAGACATTTTTATTCAATTTCAAGCGCTGTTCTCACAGCTGTGTCACCTACTTGGAAGCTCTTTCCAGTGTTCTGTCTCGGGGTTGTTTCCCTAACAGTCCAGGAATTTTCCCACTGTCCTTACACCCTGCCCCTTGCCACCTCTCTCACACAAAGAATCCTCAACTTCTTAACTTTTCCATTTCAGATCATTGGTTCACCTCCTGCCTGACTCAGTTGGCAACTGCCCATTCTTCACCCGACCTCACCTACTCCCTGGCAAGCCTAGCCTAAAGCATTTTCATACAGATTAAAAGCAAACATGTGTTGACCCACAGATCAGGTCCACACGAGGAGATGTGATTCATTTTATTTATCCCTGTCATTTAAAGGTCACAAGACAAAACACATTTCAGGGATATTGTGTGAGTGGCAGTGAGGAGTTATTTCCCATTTCACTGGTTTCCTCTGAATAAAGGTCAAGAGAGACAGAATTAAATCACAGCAGGAAAAGTGGGTTAGAGAGAAGACAGAACACACAGCTTTTAACTAGGGGAACGGTACACTGATTTTCCTTCAAAATTATAGACAGTTTAATAATTATCTTCCTTAAATGGTTTGATTTTAACATTGTTGAAGACATGGACTAGTCAAGATTATATTTTAGCCACATTTAAATTCTTAAATACTTAAGTATTGTCGTATATGTACTCTTGAAAATAAATCATATATTTCTACGTACTTTGATTTTTATTAGCTCCTAACTAATTATCTCAACAAAACCAATGAATTGAGATAATAGCTGAAAAGATTTTTATTATAACTACAGTAAGCTTTATTATAGCTTGATTTGTCAAGAATAATACTGTTTATAATCATAGAAAAATGAACTATTGCCCAGCATGAGGGTATATTAAGCATTTTAAAAAGTACATTGGTACTTTATATATATATATTCAGATCAGAAATAATTTTCTCTGGATAATGGAAATGAAATTTTATAAATCAGGTCTATATTTAGTCTATTCAGATTAATCAGATGTATTTGATGAGTTGATCTGTGTCTTCTATTAAATATTCTTATAATTAGGAATTATGGTAAGCAGGAAAAACATTAACATAGTCACTTGGTCTCTTTGACCACAAACTCTACAAATACTTCCTACTATTCTTTTAATGTCCACTCCATTTATACATATATTCAACCCTTTAAATACCTACTTGAAGGACATTATTCCATTAATGGCAATGGCTGGATTTTTGCAATCATCTCATTTTGCCTGATATCTAAAATAAAAGCTCTGCTATCAGGTCTTTTTGTTTGTTTGCTTGTTTGTCTGTTTGTTTCTTTGTTTGGCTAAAGGCAGAGAGAGTCCTTGGATTTGACGTAGAAAACAAAGAAGAGAAGATGTTCTTAAATAAAGTACATTAACAATAAAGAAATAGAGCAAAAAGTTGCTTACAACAATGGTCGGCATGTACTTATAACTGGAGAAATATGTAACATGATAATGGACAAATAATAATTTCTGCTTACGAGCCTTGAATTAACTTGAACTCCTCTCGTCTCTCCTGTCTGTTATCTACACTGGGTTTCCCAACGCACAGACTACTCCCCATTGAATGACAGTATACAATTTTGGGACTCATTTTTACATATCATTTTATCATAATGTAAGATTCCTACATGACACATACATAAAGGGTGTATATTCTGCTTTGAAAAATTACTATAGTATGTGTAAGTTCCAACTTTAAAAATACTGACAACTCCTTTAGTAAGCGATTGAAGAAATAATGCTGCCAAAGCTTACAGATTCCACTGAACTTGGTCCAGTAGCAGCCCTGGCACAGCTCAGTCCCTCTCCCTGATCAACTTTCTTTACTTGCTTCCTACCACATTGGTAGCTCCTTCTGGATCTTTCTCCTGCCCACAGACACATTATCCAGGTGTGGCACTTAAATTATGAGTAAGATGTAGCCAAGCAAAGAGAAGGCAGGGTGGTCTAGTGAGAGGTAAGGATGTGTGTGAAGACCCAAAGTGCAGGGCCATCAAGATGTGTCAGAGGATCAGAAGTGCTGGTATGACTTGACCGTCCAGGAGAGCAGAGGGGGTAGATCTGCAGCAGAAGAGGCTCCCTAGGCTCAGTTTAAAGTCATGTTGTAAGAACTCTGAACCTTATAAAGAAAATAAAATGTCATTTTAGGGAATAGCAAAAAAAAAAAAAAGCATAAGCAGATAGATATTCATTTTAGAAAGATTCCTTTGGCTTCTTTTTGGAAGAGGGGGTTAAGTGGATTAGAGCTTGAAGCTAGGAGATCACTTAATGGCTGTTCAGTATTTCAGACAAGAGATGGTCATATAATTAAAGCAAACACTTGTATAATGGTTAGCATATAGCAGACTCTAAGTACTTTCATATAATGACTCATTTAATCCTCACAACAACCATTAAAGGTACAATTATTATTTAGATCAGGAAATTGAGGCATAGAAATGTTGGATAATTTTCCCAATGTCACACAGCTGGACAGGTATGCGCCCAGCTGGGAGCCCAGGCAGTCAAGCTCCAAGTCTGTGCTCTTAGGCACAACGCTGCCCTGATCAGCAGCAGTGGGGATGACGGAAGGAAACAACAAAGATAGAATCTTCTAAGCTAACATCAAAGATAAAGCAACTTAGTGATCTGTTGGCTTCAAAGATTAGGGAGACAGAGGGGTCATAAATGATGTTCAGATTTCTGACTTGGAAAATTTGGTTGATGCTACAGACAGAAAGAGGAGCAAGATTTTGCCGAGGAGAGGAAGCAGGTGGCAGGATGAGGAAAGGCATGGCTTAGTTTAAGACATGATGAAATATACTTTCTGTGGGCTTCCAGGCAGACCTGTCCAGCAAGTCAGCACATATGGGTTTGGAGCTCAGAAAATAGGACTGGGCCAAAACACGGAGCTGGTGAAGATACCCTTCCATCATCCCCTTTCTCAAAAACAGACCTTCAGACCCGAGTTCAAACTTCTTAGAAAGGCATTTAAAGCTACTTTCTTTGCTTGCACTCTCTTTCTCCATCTCAACTTACCAATAATCACATCACACTTAAGTCTGGAAACAACGCTAGACATTCAAGCCTTTCCTGATCCCAAACAGGAAATAATTTCTCTCTTTGATTCCTTACAGCTCTGAATTTATATCTTTCTCAGGCATTTATCAGTTTCAGTTTTGTAGCTTTCTCCTCCACTGAGAAACTCACCACGTTCTCTCTTGTATGACAGCTCTTATTGTACATATTTTATCTCTACTCCAAGCTGAGAGCAGTGGCCATACCTCCTTTACATTTGTACGCAGCAGATGCGTGGTAAAAGACCTCAAGGTACCTGTGCATATATTTAGCAAGTACTTGTTAACTAGAAATAGAATCATTTTATTTTTGTCCCTTTTCTTGATTATAGTAACTGGCTTGAACGTAATACTCAAAAGATGCTATCCTATAAACACTTTTTTGTTGTTGTTATTACAAGTTCAAAAAACCTCCCCAAGCATAAAGACAATCCAGAAATTAAAGCAATATAGGGAAATAACAATAATAAAGGGCATAAAAATAAAATATTCTTATGTGGAAAAAAAATACTAGGCTTTGTTCTCAGAGAGAGACAAATTTCCGGGTATATTAGAAATGATGATATGGACAAGGAAAATGGTACTCTTGCACATTACCTGGGGGCTAAATGTCTGTACCTCCAAGGTACATGGATGAGCAAAACAGCAGGCACTTTGTATGAATGCAGCTTATAAACATGTATGTTGTAGATTACACAGCCGAAAAGGTAGTGAAACAGTGTGCATTTATTTATTCATTTTTCACATATGAATCCTATACTTCAGAGTAAATTATAAACCCACTGCTATGGCTCTGCCCACTTTGAAACACTTTTTTGTCCCCCAGCAACAGAAAAATGGAACCTGCTCAGATATAATCATACTCTTATTACTGCATCCTTCTCAATACTAGTATTACAATTCTACAAATCACGGAAATTGCAATAAATGCATAGATGTTAAAAAGAAGCATTTTAGTTTCTCTCTCTCTCTCTTTTTATACCATAGGTGGGTTCTTTTGAAATCCTTAAGAGCACATTGTTTTCTGGAAGAGTAGATTTTTCTGATAATCATTACAAATTCTATCAGAATAGTAGAATCATCTTTCTAGAATTGTGTTTTTTTAAAAATAAGATTTTTCACTGCTTCTGTATTTATGAAATTTCCTTAAAAAGCCTTTTCTGTGTAGGTATTTCACAGAATCCTTTACATCCCGATATTTGTCTTTATCATGTATCATTTCAATGGCTAGTTTAATTTTTCATGTTACTTTCTGGACAATAATTAATGTACTAATTACATTTTATCATCTTGTCCTGATAACTATTATATACACGCATAGATATTTACTTCCAACACACTATATAACTATTGTATATCATACTATATACCGCTTCTAACATAGGTTATGTTCTTAACCTACTTCTGGTTAAAATACTATCTATCTATCTATCTATCTACCTATCATCTAACTATTGTCTTCTTCATTAGACAAATAAATCTATCATCCGCTATGTCACAAACACTGTTCTAGGCACTGGTGAGTGACAGGCAAACAGAATCTGTTATTCTTGAAGCTTACATTCAATAGCAGATGACAAGCAAGTAAACAATGCATGGAATCATTTCAGGAGAACTTATAACTTACAGGAGGAAAAGTGAATGAAGTATTGGGGTAGGATGCTATCTTAAGTCAGGAGTCTTGGAGAAGCCATTTTAGAGGAAATCTAAATTAAGTGAACTAAGAAGTATGCAAAGATGTGGGAGGTAGGAGGGAAACATTCCAAACAAAAAGAACAGCACATAAAAAGGGAATCAGCCAGGATATTTGAGAGGCGGCAAGAAAGCCAAGTACCCGTATCATATACGTGACTTTGTAAATCACTTAGGGTTCGGGTTTTACTCTGGAGAGAGATGGGAAGGCTCCAGGAGTTTGAACAGTGGAGTAACATACTCTAACGTCAGATTTAGAAGGATCACTCCGGGTGTTATAGGAAAAAAAACTCTATGGGAGCCAAGGGCAGAAATAGAGAGACAAGTCTGAAGACGGCTGCAGTGGTCGATAATGATGGGATAATGATGACTTAGACCAACATGGTAACAGTAGACATGGTGAGAAACGGTAAGATTGCGAATACATTTTGAAAACTGAAATTTTGAGACTTATTGATGTATTGGATATGAAGTGCAAAGAAAAGAAAGAAACAATGACTGCAAGAAGCTGGCCGGAGCACTTGTGTTTAGGGGCCCAGGCTTTAGAGAGTAAATCAGGAGTTTTATTTTAGTCATCAAGTCGAGGTGTCTAAGAAGTCCAAGTCGAGATACCTAGTGGGCAACTAGACGCACGAATCTGCAGCTAGAAAAAAAGACCTAGGAATATACAGACATCATTTTAAACTGGGGAACTGGTTGATTTGGAGATTGAGAATGGACAGAGGAGACTGCCAAGAGTCCTGAGACTCCTGAACATGCAGTTCCCTGGAGAGTGAAATGAGAGGTCTATAGGGTATGAGAAAGCCAGGAGAGGGTGGCGTCCTTAAAACCGAGTGAAGAAAGCATCTCAAGAGGGAGAAATGATCAACTGGGTCAAACGCCTAAGTTGTCAAGCAAGGAGACGGTGACGGACCAGTGGATTTGGCAAGTGGGAGCTGTGAGTAATCTGAAAGGAGAGCTCTCAGTGGAGCAGTGGGACTAGAGCCTCCCCAGAAGCAAGAAAGCAAAGATACAGAGTACAGAAAATCCCTTCAAAGAGAATTATTCTAAAAGGGAGCAGAAAAATAAGGGAAGTGTTTGGAGAATCAGGTGATGTCAAGAGAAGTTATTTTTTGTTTATTTTTGTTTTATTGTTAAAAGATGGGCGCTACTCCAGGCTGTAAGCTGATGAGAAAGAGGCAGCAGCACTTATGACATGAAAGAGAAAGTGGATCGTACAACGGAAAAGACCTTGGGTCTGTGAGAAAGGATGAGATGTCAGGTACAATGGAAAGTGCAATTTTTGATAAGAGAAATAAAACTTCATTTGGTGAAACAGGAGGGAGGGACAGCAGCAGTTACAGACGTGAATGAGGGTAAGCGAATACAGCCCCTGGTGGAACAGTGAAGCACTTCTGTTTCCTCAGGTAAATAAGAAGTTGAGTTATCAACAGAGAATGAAGAAAAAGGAAGTGGTATCCAAGATTTGAGGAGACTGGAGAAGGTGTGACATGGCTTGTATCAGAGAGGTACAGGGGAATGTAAATAGAGAAATAAAACAGAAATGCTGAGCAATGCTGATGGCGCTTGAAGTAGGTAGTTTTCAGGATGGCCCCCAATGATCCTCACCATTTAATATTTACACGCTGTGTAGTCCTCTCCCCTTAACTGTGGGTGGGACTTACTGACTGACTTCTAACAAATAGACTGTGGGAGAAGTGACGAATCTCACACCTGAGATTAAGTTATGGGAAGACTGGGTCTGCCATCCTTGGGTACCAGCTCTCTCTTGGACTGCCCACTCCAGGGGCAGCCAGCTCCCAGCCCCGTGGAGTGGCTCCCCTGTTAAGGAAACAAGGCCTGCCAACAGCCACAGGAGTGGCCTTGGAAACAGAGTCCTATTCCCAGACAAGTCCCACTCCCATCCCAGACGAGTCTTCAAGATGAGACCATAACCTGGCCAGCAACTTGACTGCAGCCTCATTAGAAACCTTGACCCAGAGGCATCCAGCTCAGGTGCACAGATTCCTTACCCACAGAAACTGTGGGATAAAGTTTGTTGTTCTCAGCTGCTAAGTTTTGAGAGTAATTTGTCATCCATCAGTAGATAACCAACATAGCCCTCTTGAGATACGGGGTCATAAATTTAAAAGATAGGGAAAGCAGAATGTCAGCAGAAGTATCTTTTTTTCTAGTCACATTCTGATGCACAGAAAAGGACGCCAAGCAAAATTAAAGACAGGTTACCCCTAGAGCAGAAGTGGGAAGGATGGGGAAAAGGGGACATGAAATAAAGACGCATTTTCAGCTTTGCTCTATATATTTCTGTATGATTTGAATTGTTTATAATCAGCTTACACTCATTGTGTGTGTAGCTTAAAATAAAAGACAATCTTAAAAAAGTAGCACTGAAGATTTCTTCCTCATAATTTACTACAGGGTACAGGCAACATAGTTTATCAGGGAAGAGAAAAATCACACTGTTTGAGCTGCTGCTTGAACTGTAATCTGTGGTTCCTGGCTTTCTCTTCAGGGCTGGATGTATGCACCCTGGAACATCCACCAAGTGCAAGATGAAGTCTCCAGACCACAGCTAAGGGGCTGTCTGCAAATGCCGAGTTTTAGCCCCTGGTAATGCAGTAGCATTCCATTCCACGTGAGAATCCAGACAAACCCTCTGCTCAGGGTTGCGAGCAGTGCAGCCGCCGGCAAAGCACGCTGGGAGCCTTGGCATCTGTCACCCATGTCTGTTTCACTTTTCTCTGCGTGAAACCCTCTTGAGGCCCAAGGATAAAAGGCATCTCATCATTTAGGCGTCAAGTACTATTACTCTAGATTCTCCAAGGCTTTCATTGACTGTGTCATTTTAGCCGCATCATTCTCTCAGGCTGTTACTCCATGAGGTGTAAACACCAATGGAGAAAATAACGACTGCTTGAGGTTTGTTTTTCCAATCCTGTGACAAACTCTCCTGGCAAGTCCTCTTGGTGTGGGTGGCTTCCCTGGCAATTATTCACTGTGCTTTGTTTACTCTGCCCACCTTCTAAAAACTGTGCCCTTAATAATAGAGGGTCTAAAGAAGCAGAGCGTCAATTCACTGAAAATAAGTCAAAATTAATGGTAAATAATTGAATAAATCTGATTGAATATTCACTCCTATTAGACTGATATCTTCTTTGAAGCGGGGATCTAACATTCACTAAACATCTCCGACTTGGCCAGGCAAGTGTTACATTAGGAACAGCCCAGAGTACCATGCATTACGCTTTCCTTGGCCATACGATCATTGTATTTCCTCTTCCCTCATTTTCCCTCTATTCTGCTCTCCTCATCTATTTTTTTCTATAGCTCTTTTTGGGTCAGATTTTTACATGTTGCCATTTAAAAAAATTATCTGATATTATGGGTTTATTTATTCTAAAAAAACATCCTTCAAGAGTTTCAAGAATCCATAGAGAATTGGTTCACTGCTGCAAGCTTAATTATCTAAAAATCAATTAACTATCATAATCAGCAAGCAAAAGTTAGATGTGAACACATTTTCCATCACTGTTGTATAAACACATGGCAAAAATCACCAATAACTTAAACACTAGATCAATGTCTACTATTTACATGTCACTGCTTCGCCCTCAAGTTCAAAACCTGAAGACTGAGGTCTTCTCCTTGTACTGACCTTCACACGATTCTCCACTTGGTGAAAACATCCCATTGTCATGGTAGCCATCTCTGCACTCACAGTGGTACCATCCAGGCAGGTTAACGCAGTTAGCACGGCTGTCACACTGAACAAAGCCATCAGAACACTCGTCAATGTCTATTTGGGAAAGAAAAGACAAATGGGATGTTATACAATTGCTGCCTTTCTCTCAAAGAAACGAAAATATTCTGCTAGATGGCAATTAAAATATTTAGTACCACCAAATCCTTAAAACTGAGAAAACACAAAAATCAAGAAAGTCTACCTGGTTGTTGAAAGCGATACAGAAAGAATGCAGTGATACTAGCAACAGGAGAAGCATCTAGACAGCTTCTCTGTTGCAAAAGTCATCCAGCTGCAGAAACTGGAAAGAAACCATCTGTGGTAGTTGTTAGCGTTGCTCACCAAATTCTTACAACCCTTCTTCTGGACATAAGCTAAGGGTGCCCTGTGACTTCCTGAAGCCAATTAGGGAGTGACGTGTGTGACTTCCAGGCAGAGCCTTTAAGACGCAGTGTGTGATTCACACATAGCCTTCCTCCATCGCAATGACCAGCAACTTCCAGAAGCTCTGCAAATCAGCCTGAGTTCTTGCGTGAGGATGATGTGGGGCACATTCCTCCTCTACATGGGGTGGACATACATTATGAGCAAGAAATCATCCTTTTTGCTTTAAATCACTGAGGTTTCAGGGTTTTTTAAAATCACTATCAGCCTAATCTTCAGTATGTGGCAATAGCATTCATGCAGCAACATGCTTCATATGTTTAAGAATATATCCCATTTATGTCACTTTTTAGTGGATTCTACATATATTACCTCATTCAATTCTTGAAAAAATCTTGCCTTGTAGGTAGCATATTGGACATACGAAAAAAAATGAGGCAAAGGAAATTATGAGATTTAACCAAGGTCACCTAAAAGTTCACAGTTGCCTAACATGTAGGTGTACACTCCATACAGTGAGACACAGGCTGAAATTGGCAAACTTGTTTGAACAGAGTATGTACCTTAAGTCTCATACATCTCCTCCAGTGGCTCATTACTATTCCCAAGTGTTGTAACCCCCTTTATTCTTCTTGTTCAGTCTGTTGATTAATGGGAACATCTGATGCCCACTCAGATCTCTTTAATTCATCACAGAGAGGTCCTAGAGTTGCCTTACAGAGCGCCCCCTTCTTCTTATCTACCTTCCGGGTGCTCTGGGGTTGACTTAGACGTCGCTAAGTGATCTGATGGTGCTGTACCACCAGAGCTGCCAAAAATATCCATCTTGACAACCCTTTGCCATGACTGCAGGTTCCACTTGCCAAGAATAACGTTTTCTCACATGCTTCCCACACCTCATAGTCATAGTCCCTGCTGTAGCGACCAGCATGATGCTCCTCACGTTGAAGGAAAGATCAGGTGCTTTTTACAGTCCTTTCT